TATTATGGTTCTTGTGGACTTGTTTTAATTTTCTTCATCTTCAGCCTGAACTTGCAACGCACAACTGATGATCTGTTCTGCAGTCAGACCCTGGCCTTATTTTGGGTGATGATACTGAGCTTCTCCAGTATTTCTTCCCACAGATGGAGTCAATTTGATTCTTGTGTATTCCATCTGGTGAGGTCCGTGTGTACAGTTAGCATTTATGTTGTTGAACAAAGGTATTTGCAGTGTATTAGTTGTTGATTCTATCGTGTGATCTAGAAAATACAAGTCTGTATTTTCCAACTGTCCATACCTCTTCTTTGTTTCCGATTTTCACATTCCAGTCACCAGTAATTATCAATGCATCTTTATCGTATATTTAATCAATTTTTGACAGAAGAAGTTGATAGAATTGTTCAACTTCTTCTTCCTTGGCTTTAGTGGTTGGTGTATAAATTTGAATGAATAGTTATATTAACTGGTCTTCCTTGTAAACATATAGCTATTATCCTAGTACAGACAGTGTTGTGTATGAAGGTAGATCTTGAAATTGTTTTTTTTTCAGGATGAATGGAACATCATTCCTCTTGAATTTGTCATTCCCAGCATAGTAAACTATATACTTGTCAAATTCACAATGGCCAATACCAGTCCATTTTTTCTCACAGATGCCTAGGATATTAATCTTTATGTGTTCCATTTCATTTTGGATGACTTCCAGTTTTCCTAGATTCATACTTTGTACGTTCCATGTTCTGATTATTAATGGATGCTCGCAGCTCTTTCTTTTCATTTTGAGTCATGACCCAGGAGCAAATGAAGGTTCCCAAAGCTTCACTTCAGATGGACTCTACTTTGAGAGGCAGAGCTCTTCCTTAGTCATATTTTGAGTGCTTTCCAACCTGAGGGGCTCATCTTCCAGCATCATATCACACACTATGTTGCTGCTATTCATAGGGTTTTCGGGGATAATCCCTCAGAAGTGGACTCCCTATTCCTTCTTCCTAGTCTGTTCTTAATCTGAAAACTCCACTGAAACCTGCCTGCCATGGGTGAGCCTGCTGGTATTTGAAACATCAGTGGCATAGCTTCCAACAGCACATCAACATGCAAACCATCACATGACAGATGGAGCTCATATAAGTAGGACCCTACAATATTTTTCCTTTTGTGACTAACTTATATCACTCACTATAATGTTTTCAAGCTTCATCCATTCTATCATTAAACATATCAGAATTTTATTACTCCTTATGTATAGATATTTAATTTTATGTGTAGACTACATATGTTTAAGGTGCTCTGGTAGCGTAGTGGTTACGAATCGGGCTGCTAACTTCAAGGTCAGCAGTTCGAAACTACCAGCTGTTCCGTGGGAGGAAGATGAGCCTTGCTGCTCCCGTAAAGATTTACAGTCTCGGAAACCCTGTACAGGGTCACTATGAGTCCATTCCGGCTCCATGGCACATAACCACCACCACATATGTTTACCCATTCATTTGCTGATGGACACTTGGATTGTTTCCATCTTTTGACTTTTATGAACATTGTTGTAAAAATATGCTTGATTTTTTTTGCTTTTAATTCTTTTGGATTTCCTCAAAGTGGAAATGCTGGATCATTTAATAATTGTAGGTCTCACTTTTGAAGGAATTGCGAAACTGTTTTCCACAAAAACTGTGCCTTTTTATATTCCCACTGTGGATGCATGAGGGTTCTAGTTTCTCCATATCCTTGCCAACACTTATTTTCTGGTTTTTTTCTAATATAATACCATCTTACTGGGCGTGAAGTGGTATCTCCCAAGTTTGTTTTGTTTTGTTATGTTTTCTTAACCAAAGGTGCCATCGAAACTCATAATGTAAGGCAATTAATTCATTCTAATAAAATTTAACAACACATAAATATTAATGTCACTATAACACTAATGGAAGTCTTTTTCAGTCCTATGTCTATACTTATTCTGCCCCAAAGTCAGTGTAGAGATTTTTTTCTATTTCTTTTTGGACTAAAGCTTCTATTTATTTCTCCTCTTGATGTTTTCAGTTTGATCATTTCTGTCATGTATTTGCTATTTCTCTTTATAGCTCGCCAACCAGGCCGGGATTCCTCCAGGTGTTTTCAACGTTGTTCCCTGCTCTCAAAAGAAGGCCAAGGAAGTCGGTGAAGTTCTTTGTACTGATCCTCTGGTATCCAAAATTTCCTTTACTGGCTCAACAGCAACTGGGAAGGTATGATAGTTAAGACCTGAGACCAATAAATATTATTCTAATTTTTCCTCCTTATAAAGTGAAGAAAATGACAATAATCATTCCTCCCACAGCCCTCTCTCTCTATTCAGCTGGTTCAAGGATCCATTGCAATGACCACACATAACTCAGGGTTATGGTTTGTTTTGTTTTTTAGGAAGTTACAGGTTACAGTTCAGGGTCAGAAATGCTCAGGGCACAATTGTCCAGTCAGGATAGCCTCGCCTCAGCTGTGCCCACAGGCAGGCCTCTCTCTGCCCCGGCAATGGTACAAAGCCGTTTCAGGGCTGCTGATAAATATTCACAGGACATAACACCATAAACTTCATGGCTCCAGCTCCATGGGTCAGAAACCTAACTCCCCCTGTTAATTGTCTGCAGGCACCCACCCTGCAAGCAAGTCTTCTGTCCATAGTCACTCAGCTTTCCTTGCTCTGTGGATTCAAAAGTCCTCTGCTCTGTGTCACACTCGGGCTCTTGGTTCTGCTACTACTGTTCGTCTTCCTCTCCTCCAGTGTCTCTGCTTTCTGTGTCAAAGCACAGGGGTCTCAGACCCCAAAGGACATGCTCCGCTCCTGGCTCTGCTTCTTTGATGGTAGTAAGATCATCACTCCTGCTTCTCAGATGGCTCCTTTTATATAGAGTTTCACATTTTTACAATTAGAATTCTCTGTTAGTATTCATAGCAGACTCATGTCATCCTGTCAGTTTTTTCTCCCACCTTCTTTAACCCTGACCCAGCAGCAAAAGAGTTGTTTGGTGGGAGTTACAAAGACTAAGGCTAGAAGACACAGAGTAAACAATTCACTACATCACACACAGTATACAAATGGCATTTCATCTTGATGGCCAATTTTAGGAAACAGAGTGTTAAAAACAATGTCAAATAAAGTAATGTCTGATCATCTTCTGGAGACATTTTGAATGTGATTCCTCATTGGGACAAGGCCTAGGTTCTTATTTGACAATTCCATAGGAATTTGGGGCTGGGGAGGTTCTCATTGTATGTTGTTCGTTAAGTGCTAAAACCTTCCCATCATATTTGTTCAATTGTGGAATTGAACAAGTGTTTTTAGAATTGGCGATTCCAGAAACACACAATCGATATTTAAGTAGTAGGTATCTTAGAAATGAAGAAAACTTGTATGCTTAGAATTTTTACATACTTGCAGAAATGTAAAAGATTTTTCCTGGTGTTGTTTGTTTCTTTAAGTTCTTGTTTGTTTCTTTCTTTCTTAAGAGTTGAAAAGTTCTTTTCCCAAAACTGTCTGTGTGTGCCTATGAATCTATTTCTATCTAGCCTTCAAAAGATTTACAAGGTCAGGGTAGAATGAAGACTCATGGAGATTCATTTTCAGCTGATAAACATTTTCCTGCTAATGTAGGAGCACACAACAGAAATAAAACAGTGAAGTTTATGAGAGCTGGAAATTGATGAGACTGCTTTATTTTTCCAAATACGAAGTTTCCAGGCTTTGACAAGGTGCCGTTTTATTACTTTTCTATCATTGTTAGTAGAAAATATTTGCATTTTCCATCTCTGACAGGTTCTGCCTTTCACAGGTTTTACTGTGTAACTCAAATCTGAAAGGTTTTATGTAATTGTGTTGGTGTTTACTCACCATAGGAAGAAAGAAGGAATCAGACAGTTTTATAGCTCCCAACCATAATCACATCTTTCATGCCATAAACTCACGTTCAGGGAGTGGCACTGAGGGGTCGGTCTTACTAGTTATTTACACTGGAAACAGGAATTTTTAGAATCATACACTGCTATGCTCCTGAGCAATGAATGTCACATAAATAAACTTACTCTCACAGGGCTCCAGATGTTTTTGTGAAGTACTTAAAGAATGAGAAAAAGGCCTGGGAGAAAGTGGTGTAAAAACTCTGCATTTCAATCTAGAGAAATTCCCAGGATGCTGGGCAAAGGAAGCAACCCACTGTTTTTCTTCACGTTTCTCAGCAAAATGTCACTTGACAGACCTCTAAGAAAATATTCAGCCATTTGTCAAGTCCGGCCTTTCCTCTTAAAGTATTTATCCCAAGCAGTGATTTGCTTTAGGTGGCTTAAAAGGAAGAGTGATGAGGTTATTGTTGTTGTTAATTGACGTTGAGTCTGTACCTACCCATAGTGACCCTGTATAAGGTTTCCAAGGAGCAGCTGGTGAACTTGAACCGCTAACCTTGCAGTTTAAATGACTTTGCAGTCTGGCGCATTAACCAGAGTGCCACACCAGGACTCCAGTGAGGTTATAGCTAATGATATCATCCACCTGTCAGTTGGCCATTCTGTGGTGGCTTGTGGGTTGTGGTGATGTGGGAAGTTATGCTACCAGCCCACCACTCGGTTGTCAATTTGTCGAACTGTGGTGGCTTGTGTGTTGCTGTGATGCTGGAAGCTGTGCCACTGGTAATTTAAATACCAGTGGGGTCTCTCATGCTGGACAGGTTTCAGTGGTGATTCCAGACTAAGACTAGGAAGGAAGAGAGGGGGACTGCTTTGGAATATTTAGCCACTGAAAACCTTATCAGTAGCAGTGGAACATTGTCCGATATAGTACATGGAATTGAAAACAATATGAATAGCACCAGAATACTGTCAGATATAGTGACAGAAGTTGAGCCCCTCAAGTTGAAAGGCACTCAAAATGCAACTGGGAAAGAGCTGCCTTCTCACAGTAGAGTTGACCATGATGATGCAAATGGAGTAGTTTGGGGGACCTTCATTTGCTGGTGTGGCACAACTCAAAAGGGGTAGAAATAGCTGCAAACATCTATTAATAATCAGAACATGGAATGTACAAAGTATGAATCTAGGAAAATTGCATATTGTCAGAAACAAAATGGAATGCGTAAAGATTGATATCATAGGCATTAATGAACTGACATGGACAGGTATTGGCCATTGTGAATCTGACAATTATATGGTTTACTATGCAATGAAAAACAAATTCAAGACATATGGCATTGCATTCATAGGCAAAAAAAAAAAAACACATTCCAAGATCTATCTTGACACAACGTTGTCTGTGATAGGATAATATCCATACAACTATGAAAAAGATCAGTTTATATCACTGTTATTCAAATTTACACACCAATTGCTGAAATCAGTGATGATGAAATTGAAGAATTCTACCAACATCTTCAATGTGTCCCAAAGATTTTGGTATGTTGTGTTTTCATTCTCGTTTGTTTCTAGGAATTTTGTGAATTCACGTTTAATTTCTTCTTTTACCCAGTCACTTTTCAGCAAGGTGTTGTTCAGTTACCATGTATTCGAATTTATTGCTTTGGTCTTATTGTTGATTTCTAGTTTTATAGCATTGTGGTCTGAGAAAATACTCTGTAGAATTTTGATGCTTGTGAATTTATGGAGACTTGCTTTGTGACCTAACACATGATTGATTCTGGAAAATGTTCCATGAGCACTGGAGAAAATGTGTATTGTGCTGTTGTTGAATTGAATGCTCTGTATACATCTATGAGGTCAAGTTGATTGATTGTGTTGTTTAGTTCCTCTGTAGCATTGTCGAGTTTCTTTCTGGTTGTTCTGTCCCTTTTCGAGAGTGGTGTGTTAAAATCTCCCACTATAATTGTAGATTTATCTATTTCTTTCTTCAATCTCAGTAAGGTTTGCTTCATGTATCTTGGTGCTCTTTCATTGGGAGAGTATATATTTATTATGGTTATGTCATCTTGCTCAATTGACCCTATGCTCATGAGATAGTGTCATTCTTTGTCTCTTATGCTGGTTTTTATCTTAAAGTTTACTTTGTCAGAGATTAGTATTGCCACGCATGCTTGTTTATTGTTGCAGTTAGCTTGCTAAAAATTTTTCCATCCTTTAACTTTAAGTCTGTTTTTATCTTTGTGTGTAAGGTGTGTCTCTTGCAGACAACATATTGATGGATCTTGTTTTCTTATCCGTTATGCCACGCTCTGTCTTTTCACTGGCGTATTCAATCTATTGACATTCAATGTAATTATCAATATGTATGAATTGATTGCTGTCAGTATGTTACTTTTTGGTGGTGCTGTTAGTTCTTTTGTTCTGCATTCCTTCTTGTGTTGGATTTGTGGGTTTTTTTGTGCTGTTTCTTGTTGGTTTCTTCCTAGTTTCCATGTTTGCTTGTTCTGCTTGGGAATTCATTTTTATGATATGGTGTGAAGTGTTAACTTTCTTTGGGGTCCCCTTGTAGTGTACTAACTTTTCTCTGCATTTAAGATACTACATTGTAACCTGTAATTTACTTGGCATCCCCACCACCTGGGTCTCGGTTGCTACATTTGTCCCTTCTTTGACATTGATATACTTTTGGTCTTCAGTTGACCTCACAGCTCCTTTGAGTTTGTTGTTGTAGTCTTGTTCTGTTCTGGACTCTGCTATCTGTTGACTGTGTTCCAGGTGGTGTTGCCACACTTGTCAATCTCTGTTTGTTGCCTGTTCTTGTTGCTTTTCAATCCACAGAACTCCCTTTAGGATGTTTTGAAGTGCTGGGTTGGTTTTGATAAAGTCTCTCAGATTCTGTTTATCTTGGAATGTTTTGATCACACCATCATATTTGATTGATAGTTTTGCTGGATATAAGATTCTTGGTTGACAATTTTTTTCTTGCAGGGTTTTGTATATGTCTCCCCATTGCCTTCCTGCCTGCATGGTTTGTTCTGAATAGTCAGAGCTTAATCTAATTTGCTTGCCTTTATAAGTGATATTTCTCTTCTCCCTGGCC